CCACTGAGCTGTCCCACTGTTCCCACCACTGTCCCCCTGTCCCACCACTGTCCCCACTGTACCTCTGTCCCATTGTCCCACCGCCGTCCTCGCCACCGCCTTCACCACTGTCCCCACCACCACTGTACCCTCCACTGTCCTACTGTTTCCACCACATTCCCACTGTCCCCACACCACTGTCCCCCACCACCACCGTCCCACCACTGTCCCACTGTCCCCACTGTTCCCACCATTGTCCTCACCATTGTCCCCATCACTACCGTCCCCACCACTGTCCCACTGTCCCCACCACTGTCCCGCTGTCCCCTCACCACTTTCCCCACCACCACCGCCCCCACCACTGTCCGCACCCCCCTCGGTTTTCGAGGGGGGGGGGGGTTCGAACCGGTAGTGACCCCCCCGGGATTTCGAGTTCGGGGGGGGGGGGTTCGAACAGGTAGTGACCCACCCCCCTTTTCATGATGATGTGGGGGGGGGGGAGGGGTTCGAGCCGGTAGTGACCGCCCCCCGGTTTTCCGGAGGGGGGGGGGGGTTCGAACCTGTAGTGACCTCCCCCGTTTTTCCGCCAGCAGCGGTAGAACACGCTCTTTCTGATGATGCTGACTGTTGATGCTGATGATGATGCTGATGATGATGCTGATGATGATGCTGATGATGATGCTGGTGATGCTGCTGCTGAGTATGACGATGCTGATAATGCTGCTGATGCTGCTGATGATGCTGCTGATGCTGCTGAGTATGCTGACTGAGCACTTCTGTGCCCCTGCTGCGAGGACGTCTGCGGCCGCCACGGCCGGCACGCAGGACTATGCGCGGGGGCCGGGGATCGCGTCCACCGGCACAACGGGGCGAGGAACGTGGTCGGCACCTTCGCCACCAGTGCGGGCTTCAACCCGACGCTCGAGCAACCTGGCCTCCTACCGCCCCGCCCAGACGACGTCCAGGTGAATGGGCGCCGGCCTGCAGATGTCCAGATTCCCTCCTGGTTCCAGGGGGCGCCTGCTGCCTTCGACTTCGCGGTGTCTTCGCCGCACAGGCAGGCTGCCCGTGTCCTGGCGTTCCAGGAGGTGGGGCGCGCGGCGCAGGAGTACGAGTTGGTGAAGAGGAACCACCTCGACACAGAGCGGCAGTGCCAGCAGCAGGGGATCGTGTTCATCCCCCTCGTGGAGGAGCCCTCTGGAGGATGGGGCCCGACTGGCGCCGAGACTCTGCGCCGGCTCGCCCGGGCCAGCGATCGGAGACGAGGCGAGGAGCTGGGGGCGGGCGCGGCACGCCTGTTCCAGCGCCTGTCCGTGGCGATCCGCCGGGCGACGGCGCGAGCAGTCCTGAGGAGGCACGCGGAGCTCCCCTCGGCTGGCGGAGCTGTGGCTGCCGCGCCAAGCTTGCTGGCAGAACTGGTGGAGGACGACGCTTAGGGCGTGTCCCGCCGTCGCTCCTTTTCTGCCCCTCCTCTCGCCGTGTCTTCCACCCGCCCATGCGCGGGCAGCTACTGAGCATTTTGATATTTTTCGTGTTTATGCGAGTGACGATCCCTTCTGCTGTCGTCTTCGTCGTTCGTCGTCGTCGTCCGTCGTTCGTCTCTTCCGCTCCTCTCGCCTTTCCCGCTCCTCCTCCGCCGCCGGCGTCTCCTCCTCCCCTCGGGGGGCCATTCCTTGCGGTGGGTTGGTGAACGGTGCGCGCCCTGCTCCCGCTTGCGGAAGCTGGGGCGCGCGCCGATCGCCTCTCGCTGCTTTGCGTGGCCCCCTGCTCGCCCTCGTGCCCCTCGGGGCCTCCCCCGTCGTTGCTGCTTGCTGATGGATCGACGCTATCCACACTGCAATAACACACTGCTTTGGATCCACGGTGGCAATCGTTGCCGTTGGAGCCATACAAGTATTCGGACGAAGTGTAGCGCAGCACCTTGCCGCGCCGATCTGCCAGCCCAGCGCCGCGTCCTGGCGTCAGGTTGCTTGTGTTCCCTCCGCCCGGCGGCCAGTCAGCATTTCTGCCTCTGTTGATCCCCTTCGCGGTGCCGTTTGCGATGATTTTGATACTGATGATGCCTTTGCTGATGGCGATGATGAGTATGATGAGGATGATGGTGATGATGATGATGAGGATAATGATTATGATGCTGATGATGATGCTGATGATGATGCGGATGATGTTGGTGATGCGGCTGATGGTGCTGATGATGCTGATGATGATGATGCTGATGTTGCTGCTGCTGATGATGATGATGCTGATGACGATGATACTGATGCTTGTGCTGATGCTGATGCTGAAGATTCGGGCGCTGATGCTGATGATGATGGTGATGATGCTGATGCTGATGTCGTTGATGTTGATGACGATGATGATGCTGATGACGATGCTGCTGCTGATGATGATGATGCTGTTGATGCTGAGGCTGATGCGGAGGCTGATGCTGATGCTGATGCGGAAGAGGAGGAGGAGGAGGAGGAGGAGGATAAGGTCGAATTGTCATATCAATGCCAACCCTAATAATATGAGAACAAGAGCATGGATACGCAGGCGAATGCTAATAATACGGTGAATAATACGGTCAATACTACTACTACGACTAATAATACTGATACTACTTATTATATGTACCCATAATTATACTACTAATACGAGTACGAATAATACTACTAATAAGAATATTACGGATACTAATAGTACTACAATTATTAATACTAAAGAGCAGGTAAACAGCGATACTAATACTGATACGAGTCAGCAAGCGAGTACGAATAACAGTAATACTAATGATGAGAATACTACTAGTGTAATCGTAACAATGACACGACTACTAATATAATACTGATACTACGATTATTGGTAATAATACGCGGAACAGGAGCAGGAGGAGCAGGAACAGGAGCAGGAAGGGGAGGAGCAGGAGCAGGAGGAGGAGCAGGAACAGGAGAAGGAGCAGCAGGAGAAGGAGAAGGAGGAGCAGGAGGATGAGAGAGGAGGAGGAGGAGGAGGAGGAGGAGGAGGAGGAGGAGGAGGAGGAGAGGAGGGGAGGAGGAGGAGGAGGAGCGGGAGGAGGAGGAGCAGGAGCAGGAGGAGGAGGGGGAGGAGGAACAGGAGGAGGAGGAGGAGGAGGAGGAGCAGGAGGAGGAGCAGGAGGAGGATGAGCAGGAGGAGGAGCAGGAGGAAGAGCAGGAGGAGGAGGAGGAGCAGGAGGAGGAGGAACCCGCCGCCCAGGTCCTCCGCGAGGAGGAGCAGGGCGCGCGGGCCGCGCTCTCCGAGGCCCTTAAGGCCAGCCGGGCGCGGCCGAGGGTCGTCGGCCACACGCGCAGGGGGTTGAGGGGAGGGGGGGGGGCTATCAAGCTAGGTGCGATCGCGTCGTATCTGACGTCCTACCCCTCCCATCCCTTACCATGGCGTAGATATCCTTTCTATATCCGCACAATCGGATGTCGCAACATGGCACAGCATTACATCGCATAGCATGGTGTTGAAGATCAACGTCTAGCATGACATAACGTGACGTGGCGACGCGACGCCCCAAAGTGGGGGGGGGGCTTCTGCGGCCCAGGGGGACTAACGACGGAGCCTGCTTCTCATCTGTAGATGTAAGGCCTGCTTCTAAGAAGCCTTCCTCCCTCCCCCTACCCACTTGGTACGCGCCGCCACGCGGGTTGGCGAGGGGATGGGGGGGAAGCAGCGAACGCCGACATCGGGGTCCCACCCACTTCTCGATGAGGAAAAGGTATCCGTACTGCTACCCTTGCCTCGTTTTCGTCTTTTGGGTACCCTGGGAGGCCCTCGTCGCCACAGCTGGATTCGCTTCGAACGTGTGGTCAGGACGCACCCCAGGGGAGGTCTGGGGAGTTGCGGTATCGGCACCCTCTGGTTTCCAAAAACTCCTCCCGTGGCGAGACCACAAACCGCGGCGAAACAACTTCTGTCCACTTGCGGCCTCAGGGGGGCCCTCGCAGGGCCCCCCCAGGACCATCAACAAATGGCCCAGGGCGACGATCCTGGGGAAGCGGTCTAGACTCTCGGAGTCGACGTGGTGGAAAATCACCACGTTGGAGATCTGGGTCAAGGGGCCTTCCTGGCCTCCAAAGGGCTTCAGGGCGTCGAGACTTCGCGGGAGATTGCCGATTGGTCGCCAGGGGTTTTGAACTTGTTTTTTTAAGGTCTGGGCGATACAGCAGTGATCGGCCGTCTCCTTCCCCCCTGATCACGTCACGCTAGTTTGTCTACATGTGCACAGATTTCCTGAGGATTCTTAGAGGATTTCTCAAGTTTTTTCTGGCGACCCCCCAACGTAATGTGATCGGGAGGGGCGAGCCCCCCCCCTTCTCCGATCACGCCCGTTATCTCGAACAATTATGAAACAGGTTTCCAGTTTTTTTTTGTGCGGATGGCCCCCATGGTCTGCCAAGACCAGGGGCTTTCAGGCGCCTCCGTGGGGCCACACGGGCTCCGAGCTTCCCCCCTGTCGCCACGAAAGTGGGCCTTGGCGGGCCCAGGCCACCCCGGGAGAGGGCGGTGCAATGGACTTGCGGGCGAGAGTGTGTGTGTGTGTGTGTGTGTGTGTGTTGTGTTGTGTTGTGTTGTGTTGTGTTGTGTTGTGTTGTGTTGTGTTGTGTTGTGTTGTGTTGTGTTGTGTTGTGTTGTGTTGTGTTGTGTTGTGTTTTGTCGTGCTGTGTGTGTCTGTGTTTGTCAGTGTTTGTTTGTTTGTTGATGTGTGTGGCGTTGCCATGGGTGCAGCACTGGCTGGCCACCCCGGCTGCTCCACGGCGACGCGCCTTGCCATGTGAGTGCCCTCCCCTTCTCCCTCGCGGCCGCTTTCGCCCGTTTTTTCTTTTCCGCCAGTCAATTCGCGCTTTCCCTTGCCCGGACCGCTTGAGCGTGCATGCGGTTTGCTTCTGCCGCGCTGCGACATGAAAGTGTGCGTGTGTGCCAGTGGCACCGCCATGTTGGCGGTGGGCTGGCATCATTCCCAGGTGAGGTGGTGCGAGCGGTTCCAGACTTGGTTAGTCTAGTTCGAGTACGGGGATCGACTACACAGTTGACTTAGCCTTTCGTATGAACTACGAAACGTACGTATTATCTTCGTATATTTGCGAAGATTCGTCCGACATGCGAATTAAGATTCGGGTATAGTGAAAACCCATTCCAAGAGACACCCTTTTTGTCTCCAGGGTGCCTTCGGTTGATTGGGTTTCGATGGTTTTGCTATGCCAAGCGTGATTTCCCCACACAAAGATCAATTGACGCACTTGGGTACCATTTTTTGGAGTGTATTTTATGGTCGGTCTCCTACTGTGGACCAATCGTGTTTCGGTCCGCTACTCGAGTAGAGGCCTTCGGCCCGTCCCGCTACGGCGCCTTGATTGTAGGTCGGAGGCTTCTCGGATGCCTGGGAGGGTCTCTTGGGGGGCCTTTTCGGGCGCCTTTTGTTGGTTCGTTGTGGTCTGAGGGGGGCCTCCCGGGGAGGCCTCCTGCAGCCCCTGGGGGGCTAGTTTTTCTATCTAGCGCACCCTCTGCCACCCCAGGCTGCGGCGAGTGGATGATGTGAGGCGCACAAGAACCACTTGTTAAGAAGAGGCGGGCCTGGCCAGATTGTTGACGAACGTGTGTTGATGCCCCGTTGGGCTGGCAGGGGCTCCCAATATCACCCAACAGACGGTGCCAACAGGCTGATAGAAGGCGGCTGGACTCGAGCGATGTGATGAGAAACAGGATCAGCACATCCGCGAGAGGAGAGTTATGTGTAGCAGGAGGTTGGCGGATGAGGCGGAGGATGAGGAGGACGTAGAGGAGGACGAGGAGGAACATGAGGAGGACAAGGAGGATGATGAGGAGCAGGAGGAGAACCAGGAGGAGGATGAGGATACATATGATTATGAGGAGGAGGAGGAGGAGGCGGACGTGGAGGAAGAGGAGGAAGAGGGAGAGGACCAGTGTAACCCCAAGGGTCACCAACGATGCTGGAATCATCCCTCCTTCCAAGCTCATACAAGGGTTCATTTCCACTGAGGGAGATACTTTGTTTGAAGACAATTTTGGAAGACCCTGAATAATGCCAACAATTTGTTCTCGGGATTCCAACGCCACGGATCAATTTGACTGTTACGTCTTGAAGATCCGGAATAGGGCCAGAACGCCATTCCTGTGATTTCAACACCGCGAACCAACGTACCTGTTGACCCTCATAAGATTGAATCCTTCCAAACACCACCTCTGGTACGCTGAACCTGGGGATCCGTGAAAATCGTGCAACTGTTTAAAACGAGTGTGCGTGATGCTGAGGCGAGAGCCGCATTTTGAAAAGGACCCGCCCCAATCCGTGAAGCTCTTGCAATTTGTTTAATAGGAGGTGCGCGGCGCTAAGACGAGAGTCTCTTTTTGAAAACGGGTCGCCCTCAATCCGGAAACTCTTGCAATTTATTATAACGAATGTGCGCGGCGCTAAGGCGAGAGCCACATTGTGAAGACGGGTCGCATTCAATCCGCGAAATTCTTGCAATTTTTAGAACGGATGTGCGTGGCGCTAAGGCGAGAGCTACATTTTGAAAACCACCCGTTCTCCATTTGAGCAACTGTTGCCACTTGTTTTAACTTCAGGGTCATAAGTGGCGAGGAAATATCAGGCGAAACGCCCGGCCCGCCCTCAAAACTTGCCTCGAGGTGTGACAGGGAGAAGTTATTTAGAAGGACAAGGCATGAAGGAGGAGGAGGAAGAGGAGGAGGAGGAGGAGGAGGAGGAGGAGGAGGAGGAGAGGAGAGAAGAAATGACAGGGAGTCGGCGGGGATCCCTTGGGGAAGCGAGAAGGGTTGGGCCTTTTCAGAAGGCTCGGATGTCCCCCGATCTTCTGATGAGTTTTTCAAGCCTACCCCGAAACCAGAGGGAAAAGATTCTCGGAAGGCGCGAGGGCTTCTGAAAAGTCCCGCCGCCTTCGCAGAAGGCCTTCTCCTTCTCACTTCCCCCCTTCGCTCGCCTCCGAACAAATGCCGTGTCACGTGCCCTAGGCCATTCGAATTGAACGCAATCTGCGAGAGAGTTGCAGGCTAACTGCTCTGGGCGGAACCGCCTTCACAAACGGCAGGAGTTGAGGGCACCGGGCGGTCTTCAGCCATTGACCGGCAATTCTTCCCCCAGTTGACGCTCGCGGGTTCGCAGAGGTGGGTGGGGGATTCCCCGAGGTGGTGTTCGGGAACGAACCCGGCTGGATGCTCACGCGCCCTCTTCCAGGAGCTGTTCAGAGCGACGTTCCTGTAGCCCCACCTCTGCCACCTATCCCACTTCCCCAGTCCTGCGACGCTCGGATTTTCCCAAAACGGGGTGCCCGGCAGTCCCGACCCATTCCCCAGGGCCGGTTCTTCATCCCGAGATGTTTTCTTGGCAGTCTCTTTGGGTCTGGCGAGGGCCCCGCAGGCCGAAGTCGGCCAGAACACCTCCCGTCGTGATTCTCTCAGGATGCGAGCGTGTCTGTCTCCTCCCCCCCCCGAGACACCTTTGTTCCCCGTGCGTTCTCGGCGCCCCCTCCGCGGGCTTCAGGAGCGCGGCATGCTGAAGCTGAGGCGCGCGCTCGCTCAGGCCCGGGAGCTCGGGCTGCAGGAGCATCTCCGCCCGCTCCGGTTCCCCCCTCTCCCCTTGCTTCAGCGGCACCGTAACGGGTACTCACTAACGGGTACTTCGGAAACTTGCCGAAAGTTGTCACTTTAGGGCTTCTTTCTGGCATTGCATCGTTGCCCACATCGGGGAGGACTGGGTTCGCCCGGTCACTGGCCAAAGTACCCGTTAGTGGAGTCCCTATTAGGAAGGCGCTGATTGCTGTCACCCTCAGGGCAGGGCCTGAGGGCAGCGGGAACATCGGACCCTGATTGCGTGTGTGCATTTTGATATTTTCCGCGGTCGTCTGGCTTTGTTGATGAGGACTGGGTGCACAGCCCCGCAGACAAGCAACTGAGTGTCTACATTGGTTTCCCTCCCAGATTTTTCAGGGAGAGGAACAAGGAACTTACTATTCTCGTAGCGGATTTCATTTGCACGTGTGATCAGGTCTTGGACGGGGCTCAGCCGCGCCAAAAACGTGGGAGACGATTCGCAATCATGGGAGGGGCTGCCCTGCATGGCAAGAGAAGCATTCATGCGTGTGCCGGAGCGCAAATTTTAGATGCTTCGCATATCCCCATTGGCTTCCCCCCGGGGCGCTGGGGCCAGTGCCAGCGGCGCTTGGTCGGCGCCGGCTGCCAGATTGGTCTGACCTCCCGCGCCGTCACCCTCGGCCGACTGGGTCCGGCCCCCGCCCGAGGACGGTTGACCTTTGCGGGCCACGACGCTCGCTGAGGGTTGCTTCGTCGTCGAGGCGCGCCCTCCCTGGGCAATGGGTCTTGCGGTCCCTTACGTCTGGCGCTCACCCCACACGCGAGAGACGGCTGGCAGCAACGCGCTCTGACGCCTACGACGGTTGCCAGCCTGGCGGCGACCCCCGTTGCGACTTTCGCCCGCTGTTTCGCTAGTTCGTGGTCGACGCGCACATGCACGACGTCTGTCTCGGGTCTACTATCTGGACTCGGACGCGTTGCGAACCATTCGCCACTTTCGAGTGCATGGAGGCCCTCCTCCTGGACCTCCCCGGCTTGGCGCGGACTTCCCGGGCTACTCCGTCGTGTTCGCCGCCTGCGTGACTGCGTAGCGCGTTTCGGTCGCTTTGGGTTCACTTTTAGGCCGCAATTTAGAGCTTGGCACGGCTGTCTCTTCTCTTGACGGCGCGCGGTTGGACCGCGACGCTCGCGAACGAAATCGTGTCCCCATCAACCCATCCAGAAACGATGTCCAGGCGAGTTGAGGTGATCAGGGAAGTGCACGAGCAAAGAGGGGGACGGCGGAACCGTGCGAAGGAGGGAGGAGGAGAAGGAGGAGGCTGGATGGATGGATGGCTGGATGGATGGATGGATGGATGGATGGATGGATGGATGGATGGATGGATGAGGGAGTGGGGAGAAGGAGGATGCGTGGGATGAGGAGCAGGAGGAGGAGGTGGAGGAGGGGGAGGAGGAACAAAAGGAGTCGGAGGAGGAAGGATGGGCAGGGGGAGGAGGGCTCGCAAGAGAGCCAGGGGTCTCCTGGATGCCTCTCGGAGCCTCTTGGGATATCTCTTGGGCGCTTCTTGGAGGCCTCTTGGGGCGTCGTAAGGGTCTCTTGGCAGTCCTGGGGGGCTCGTGGGTGTCTTGGGCGCCTTGGGGGGGAGGGGCCGGTTGGGGCCGCTTGAGGTCTTCTTGGGGGCCCTCTGGCGGCTTCTTGTGGGCCCCTTGGGGCCATCTTGGGGGGGCCTCCTGGGCGCCTCTTGGGGCCATCTTGGAGGACATCGATCAAAAAAGAGAGGAACTCCAATTAGGGTTGCCCTTCGGGGGCCCCGCACATCGTCTCCTGGACCCCTCTTGGGGCTCTCTTGGGGCTCTCTTGGGGCGCTATTGGGCGCTCTTGGGGCCGTTTTGGAGCTCTCTTGGGTCTATTTCGGGGCTCTTTTGGGCCATCTTGGAGCCATCTTGAGGCTTCGGAAAGCCATTGGAAGTGAAGAGACGAGAAGGCAATCTCGCTCGTTTCCCGTAGATTTTGGAAGGATTTGGCCTCTTGGGGGCGTCCTCGGAGGCCTCGGAGGCTTCTTGGAACCGTATTGGAGCGTTCTTGGGGCTTCTTGGAGCATTCCGGGAGCGCCATCGTGAGGCACCGTGCGCTAAACATCTGCAGCCATCTTGGAGGTCATTTTGGGGTCTCCGAGGCCCTCTTGGGGCCGTCTTGGGCCATCTTGGACGCTCTGACCGCACGCGACCCCCCCCCGTCCAGGTCCAAGGGGGGGGGGGTCGCGGGAAGGGGAACCCCCCTCCCCGAAGGGGAAGAAGTGGGTTGGAAAAGGAAATTCCCCAAACCACCTACGCCCTAAAGGGCTGGTTGGACTTGGCATAAGCCTCATTTTGCTCCACGTGGTCCAGTTGTCTCCAGCGAGGAATCAGCTGTCAGAGCCCGCGTGTCCAACATCACGCTTTCTTAGTTGTCGACGATGGCATCATTTGCAAACGCCAATGTAGAAACGCTGCGACACACCTGTAGGAACCCGATTTGGCTAGCCATTTGACGGGCGAAGGCTACACGCCGGTCGTTGAAAGTAGGTATTTTTGGATGCCCAAATCCTAATCTACTTTAGGCGCCTTCCTACTTCAAGAGTTGAGTGGTTTTCCTTCTTCCCTCCTCTTCAGGAGGCGTGCGGAAACCCAATGTATTTCCAACGCCTTCCTACTTCATGTTTCTACCTACTTCTTCCGACCGATGGGTACGAGTGTATTCGGAATGGCCCACACCGTGTCCGCAGTGTGGGCATGCTGCCGTTTCTCCTCTTCTTCTCCGATTCCATCCTCGGCCACTGCTTCCCCTTCCCTCTCCCCTCTCCGTCTCCTGGCCCTGACAGGCCCTTCCCGCGTCTTCACCAGAGGAGGAGAAGGAAGAAGAGGAGGAGGAGGAGGAGGAGGGGGAAGAGGAGGAGGACAAGGAGGAGGAGGAGGAGGAGGAGGAGGAGGAGGAGGAGGAGGACCAGGTGGACAAGGATGACGAGGATGACAAGGAGGAGGAGGACAAGGAGGACAAGGAGGACGAGGAGGACGACGAGGACGAGGAGGAGACGGAGGAGAAACTGCCCGTCCCTCTCCCCCTTTTCTTCTCCTTTCCCCACCTTCCCAGGTGGCGCCTTTCGAGTGCACAACCTGTAGGCTTTCGTGTCGCCGGTGCCGCCTGCATGATCCCAGGGCAGCGCCAGCGGGCGATCGGCTCCGCGGGTTCTGAGCGGGCGTCCTCGCGGCGCGCGCGTGCTGGAAACGGTCGATCGTTGAAGGCCGAACGATCCCCGCGGTGTCAGGAGCCGGCGCCAGGGTCGTCACGACACGAACCTGCCGTAAGAGGTAAGAGGATCGGGGGCCCGCGTTTCGAGTGAAGGATCGACTACAGAACTGATTTACCCCAGAAACGGTTCTCTCGCCGAACCTACGAAACTAGACGTAGTTTGCTCGCAGATGTAGGATTATGCTACATTTGGTTTCGTAGATTCGACGGGGCAGCAATGCTGGGGTAAATGAATTCTGCAGCAGATCTCCTACTCGAAGAGCGTAAGAGTAAGGGGATCGGGGGGCAAGGTCAGGGGGGAGATTGACTTTCGGACGGTCCTAGAATCGAGATAAACCAATTCCAGAGTGTTCTGGAACGCTCTGAAACGGCCGCGGCGCCCGAGGCAATCCCAAACCCGCCGATTCTCTGAGATTTCCGATTTATATCGGTCCGATCATGTCTCCATCATTCCTTCGTCTTATCCTGGGTGAGATCGACTTCCCCCTGGGGACTGGTCATCCTGGTCGACGGTCCCGCGACCCGGTAGAGGCCCCCAGAGGCCAAAAATAGCCGAGCGCCTCCCAGCGTGGTTTTCCCATGACCCGAGTGGGTCTGGGGCGGGGGAGCCGTAGAACGCTAACAGCGATGTAGGTAAAGACGATGTAGGCTTCGGTATTGTAGGTGAGGGTGGTTCAAGGCCAACCCCGCTGTAGGAACGCGCTGTTTTTTTCCCCCCCCTGCAATTTCTTCTGCGCGAGCTCGGCGTCGCAAAGACCAGACAGACTCCCAACATCGGCGTTAACTGACATCGCCGTCAGCGTGGTCGTGGGGTCGGCGCTACCGCAGCATACTAGCACTATGTGTGCGTCGTCCCTGTACACTGCAATATGTCTGTACTATATGCTCGCACTCATCCGAGGAGGACACATACTAGCAATTATGTCCTTGTGCGTCCTGTGCATGTATGTGTGTGTGTGTGTGTGACACCGCCATGTACTGGCGGTGGGCTGGCCCCCTTCCTAGTGGATCGACTGAAGAGTTGTTTTACCTCAAACTTTTTTTCGTAGGACCGTCGAACGGTGCGTAGAATCCGCGTAGACCTTCCTGGGGAGAGATCGGCTCCCCTGGCCACATCGTCGGCCACGCGCAGAAGGGGGTATGGGGGAGGGGGAAGGCTTCTCAGAAGGAGGCTGCTCTGCAGAAGTCGCGGGCCTTTCTTCTGTAGATGCAGGGCTGGCGCCTTCCAAGCAGCAGCCTCCTGCCAAGAAGCCCCTCCCCCTCCCGCGAAGCACCCCCTCCGTGCGCGCCGTCAACACAGCACTGGTACAGTCGCATCAAGAAGCCATGTGCTTTTCATCAGGGTACCCTGGGTCTCCTCGCTCCTCGCGCTGCACGGTGACTTCCCGCGGCCGTTGGAGAAGCTGCTGCGCCCAGGGTGCCCTGGCTTTCTTCCCCCCCGTCGCACTCCCTCGCGCGGCTCTTCGGGGCCGGGTTTCCTGCGAGGGTTTCTTGCGGCCGCGTCCTCGCTGCATGTCCTCGCGCGTCCCATGCGGCAGGCTGGGGGCAGCTCGCCTCCCTCGGAGGGCTCTCGCCGCCGCCCCCGCGCGCGCGCCCCGCAGAGGACGACCCGCAGGCGCGCGCTGCGGAGCAGCGGCTGCAGGCCGCCGGGGAGGCGCCCGCCGGCCGCGGGCCGCGGCGCCCTCCCCCGCCCGCCGGCGGCGGCCGGGGGCCGTTGGGCTGGGCAAGAGAGCCGCCGTGGAGGAGGAGGGGGAGGGGGAGGGGGAGGAGGAGGAGGAGGAGGAGGAGGAGGAGGAGGAGGAGGAGGAGGAGGAGGAGGAGGGGGAGGAGGAGGAGGAGGAGGAGGGGAGGAGGAGGAGGAGGAGGAGGAGGAGGAGGAGGAGGAGGAGGAGGAGGGGGAGGAGGAGTCAGCAGGCCTCGCTCGTCGAGTGCGGTCGGACCGATCTGCGGAGGAGGTAGTGCCCATCGGTCGTTGAAGGTAGATATACAAGGGCTCCCACGAGGGTGCGAAGTTATTCGCGCTTCGCGCTTCGCGGTCCTCGTTCCTTCGCCCCCTCCTCCTCGTCCTCCTTTTCTCCCTTTCGGGGAGCGGCGCGAGAGCGCGAAGTTATTCGCGCTTCGCGCTTCGCGCAGCGCGAAGCGCGAAGTTGGGAGCCCTTAGATATATTTTTGGATGCCCAGGCTCCAATCTTCTGCACGCACGAGATGGGCCCGGAAAGAATGGGTACGATGCCCAACACCAGTTCCAGCTCATTTTGAGCAGGACTCGCTGTCCGCGCCGCCGCGGCCTGTGTCCATTCGAGACAGAAGGCCGCCTGCCCAACAGTGGCCGCTGTTGGTTTGGGACAACATTTGTTGCTGGGCATCGTACCCATTATTTCCGTACCCACTTCGGGCGTCCGAATCAGCAGGTTTCGCTCGTCGAGTACGGCCGGACCGGTTTGCGGCGGAGATGGTGCCCATCGGTCGTTGAAGGTAGATCTATTTTTGGATGCCCAAGTTCCAGTATTTTCAGCGCCTTCCTGCTTCAAGGATCGCGTGGCTTCCAGCTTCTCTGTCCTCCCCAGAGGGCGGACGGAACCCAATCTGTTTTCAACGCCTTTCTTCTTCATGTTTCTACATACTTCCTCCGGTACTGCTACCCTTCGCCCGTTTCCCCCTTTTTCGGCCGCTTGGGAGGCCTTCGTCGCCACCGCTGGATTCGCCTCGAGGTCCTGGTCAGAACGCACCCCTCAGGAGAGGTCTGGAGAGTCCTGGCGTCGCAATTTGTGATGGGCCCATTCTCCACCACCACTTTCATAGGTAGGAGAGGGAGGAGGAGGAGGAGGAGGAGGAGGAGGAGGAGGAGGAGGAGGAGGAGGAGAAGGAGGCGGACGAGGACCTCCTCATCCTCCCTTTCCCCGTTGTACATATGGTAGTGGTGTTGTATAATAGGCTTATCAATTTGTTCGAGTCTAGCGTTTTCGAATAGTTTCGGGCCCTGGGAATCGATCCAGCTCGAAACACTGGCGCAGGGGTCCTGGGCTCTGGTCGTGTTTTTTTTCGCAATCATGTATTTTTTGTCGAGACGCTGGATCTCAGTGGATGTATAAGATCGAGTTCGGTTCGGGGAGGGTGCCCTACTATTCTCTGTGTCTGTTGGATGCTCCTGTGCATCCTGGGTGAGGGTGCCCTCGAATGTTCTTCGGTTTGGCTGGCGTGCTCAGGGTCTCATGTTCTTGAAGGATGTTCTTCGGTCCCAGGTCCGGCCGCAGGAGATCGATGAACCGCGAAGGGTCTGTGATGCTGGGCCCGCCCCCCTCCCTTTCAGCTCTCGGCTGGGAGTAGCCCGTCCCTCCCCTCCTCGCCGACTCCCCTCCTCGCCCTTCTCGCTCTCCCGCCTCGCCCTCCTCCCCCTCCTCGCCCCTCGCCCTCCCCCTTCCTGGGGATTCGTAGGCCACAGTCGGCGTCGCCCAGGCAGTCGGCGTCAGCCAAACATCTCAATCACACTGTGCGTGCACCGCCTCCACATGGGGCGGCGCGCACGCCGAGAAATCTTCTGTAGTATGCGCTCCGTGGCGGGCGCTGTCTGGCCGTGCTAGTACAGCTCGGGAGCGGTATATGCAAGACGCTTCGCGTTCACCGCCCGCCCACCCCAGTTCTCGCCGGACGAGGCGAAGACGGCTCCACCACGGCATGAACAAATGCAGAAACATCAGACACGAACCCCCGCAATGTGGTGGATTCGACGTCTCAAAGAGGCCTGCGCCATTCTGCCGACCCCCAGAAGAGACGGGGAGTCCACGGTTGAGGCGTCGTAGGCTTCTTGGGCACTATCTGAGGTCTCTTGTGGGCGTCCTTGGAGCTGTGTAGGGGGCCCGTCGGAGCCTCCTGGAAGCAGTTTTGGAGCATCTTGGGGTTCGCTCTGAGGCCTCTTCTGGGCCTCTTGGGGGGCTCTTGGCGCTTACCGGGGGCCTCTTCTGGGCCGCTTGGGGGCTTCTCGGGGCCTTTTGGCGGCCCTTTGGGGGAGAACGATGGGATGTTCGGTTCGTGTTCTCCCTCTTTGCTTCTCTTGGGCCCTCTTGGGGAGATCCTTGGCCATCTTGAGCCTCAATGTGGGCCGTCTTGGAACCCTCTTAGGGCGTCCTGGGGCCCTCGTAGGGGCCTCTTTTGCAGTTTTGGGGCGGTCTGCAGGGCCTATTGGGCCGTCGTGGAGCGTCGGAAGCTCAAGAAGACGATAACCACAGACACAATGAAAAACGCAAGGAACACCATTGATGTTTGCCTCTCGGGGCCCTCTTGGGAAGGCTCTTGGGGCGTCTCGAAGGCGTCTTGGGGCGACTTGGAGTATTGGAGCCACCGTCAGCGTCCTGGGACAATCGTTCCGCGAGACCGTTTTGGAACGTCTTTGAGGCCACAGATAACAGATTTGGAAGCTCCAGAGTCTGCAGGGGTGCGCCGGCGAGCCCAGATACCTCCCCTGCAAGGTGCTCGAGCCTTGGGCGCTTGCCCACCTCCTTCCAAAGCACCCTCTCATGAACTGCGGGGATGTGCTTCGCCAGAGTGGAAGCGCCGAACGCGCGCATGTCCAGCTCCCGCTGCTGGTCGTTAGTGAGAAGACCGACTCGAATAACCTGCCATCCCAAACAGTGGCACGCGAGCGCGCATGCTGCAGCTGGTCCTGAAGTTGCCAGCGCCTCCCGCAAACGCGCTGTTTATGGCCCGCAGGTCCTGGCCGTCTGCGTTGAACTTCACTGCCCTAGCCCATGCCACGATCGGGAGAGCGCTGTGGTCCAGCAGTGGGTCGCTCGAGAGGCGCTTGTCGACCAGGAAGCTTAGGCTGAGGCTCTTCCCCGATGCACGACCGTGGTGGACTGCATTGAGCTGCCTCCTCCGCTTGGTCAGCTGCAAGGTGGGCCAGCCAACCGCGCAGAGGCCGCGTCGTTTGGTTCGGCGTAACCCTGTGTTGGCGACCCGCACCGCGGCTGGCGTCTCCTGGGAGCAGATCGCATGCAGCCTCTGCGGCTGCGACGCCGCCTTCGAGTAGCGCTTCCCCATGACTACGAAGTCCTGGCCGTCGAGGCAGTAGTCCACTGCCGGGTTCTTCGCGGACTCGGGGATGAGAAACGTCACGCCGCCCATATGTTTGGCGACCAGCTCGGCCAGCTCAGGCGCGCTGGCGAGAAGCTCGCTCGTCGCCTCCGAGACCTTAACCTTGCAGCTCAGGTCCTGGGGTTGCCCCGCCATCGCCTTGGTCGCCAGGGCCACGTATGCTGCGACATGCGCCATGGTGCCGTGGCAGCCCACGCAGCATTCGTCGAACATGATGACGAGCGTCACTGGGCTCGAGCACCCTCCAGAGCCTCGCGCGCTCGTCCGCTAGCACCCTGGGCCCGTGCTTCAAGGGCCGCCCCGCGTGTGAGCAGCCAGCGATGAGGCCCGTATCGAGAAGGTTGGCCTCCGACGCGCTGCCGTCCAACGTGACGCGATGCTCGCCGGCGTCGAGGGTGGGGGCCATGCCCAGCAGGCCCCGTGGATACCTGCCCAGGACGCTCCGATCTTGCATGATGGCCAAGCCCACCCGCTCGTACGCCTTCCACAGGTCGATTGGCGCTGCAGCTGCGCCGCCCTCTCTGGGGCGTGACGCCTCGGACCAAACCGCCTGCCGCCGTGCTGCCTCCTCGGCGGCGCGCCATCAGTCTCCCCGAGAGTGCGCCGACAAACCCTGGGTCGATCTCGGAGCCCCTCCTCCGCTCATCGGGCTGGCGAGCTCGGCCCCGTGGGCGAGGGGGCCTCGCGAGCAGCCCGACGGGCCGAGAGCCGCCCGGGGTTGGGGGGGCAAGACCGCGAGCGCGTCGGTGATCGCGCCTGGCAGGCCGCCGAGCCCCCCGCGCTTCCCATGCCGCGGTCGATGATGGTCTCCAGCATGGCGCCGCTGAGATTCGCCGCCCCCCCGGGGCCCAGGCGGTCGCTGCCGACCCTGGGGAGCGAAGAATGGCGCAGACATAGACGCTCGGAGGTCCGCGCGGGTTTCTCGGATCCGTGCCGGGCCCCCCTCCCTGGCGCGCGGAGCGCGCAAGGGGGGCAGGCGTGCGCGTGGATGGCGTGCGCGTGGGCCCCCCCCCCCGAGGTGATGCGGGGTCCGCCTCGCGCCTGCCGCGCCCGCGCCTACGGCGCTCCATCTTCCCTCGCCCGCGTCGGTGGGCGGCCCTTCGTCGGCGCGGAGCGCCGGGGGAAGGGTGGCTGAGCGTCGTGGTAGACCGATTGCCCCCAGCCGCACCGCGCGCGCGGTTCCCGCGGGCGGGGGCAGCTTGTGGTGGCAACCTGCGACGCCTGGGGGTGCCCCTGGATGCGGATGTTGAAGTCCTCGTGCTCCTCCAACCGCCTCCTGGACTCGCCGTGATCGTCGATGGCGCCGTGGGTGTCCTCCTCCCAGCTAACGCGGTCGAGGAGAGGCAGCTGTCAGAGGAGCATGAAGTATTGATGTTGATAGTCTTCAAGATTTTCAGGTTTTCCCGTTCTTCCGCGCGGGCACCAGGGGCGAATGGTCGGGCGCATTTCGCCCCGCAGGTTCTCCGCGAGTCGCGGCTGCCGCGGCGCGCGCGATTTTCGAGGCAACCCCTTCGGGTGCTGTTGGCGCGCGCAGGGCGCGGAGCGCGCCGCGCCGAATCGCGC